TCTTAGGAGACAATTCTGGTGTTTGCAATGACTGCATGAAAAGCTTAATCTCACTGGTGAACATGACTGCGCGCATAGTCCTGGCTTCTCTCCTCTTCAGCCTCCACACATTCAATGGAGGAGGACAGCAGTGTTGACATTAATGTGACTACAGTTTTCTGTGCAAAAATAAAATAAGGAGGCTGGTTCTTTCTGATAATTAATTGCATCAAGCCAATGCAAATACAGTCACCCCCACTTTCAGATTCAGTGGAGGCTGAATAGAAGCTGGGGTAGGATTAAGTGAATGATCCTGGTCTCTTTTTGAGTTTTGCATTTTCTGCTGATTTGAGCTCTCTCCTGGAGCCAGGAGGTAGACTATCAAAAGACCACAACAACAGCCAATGTCCTCATTTGTGATCATCATTCATTTCTGTGATTATTGGTCACACCAAACTGTGACCAATCATTAATCATTCAAACTCCAATTCTTCTGATATTCGCCAGGTTCTCTAACGATCATCAGCTAAGAGGTAGATGATTGTAATCCAATGCTTTCTTTGGAAATGAAGTTGTCTGTCAGGAAAAAAAAAATAGAGGGAAACTGGGAATGTAGAAAGTATCCTGGGGAGGAAATGGCAAGGTACAAGTTGTCTAATTTGGTTCCTGATGAATGAGGACTCCGTGACTAGTCAGTAGTGGAATAGGTGCATCTCCCCTAAGCTAGCCATTTCATAAGAATCCTTGTTACATTAAAATCCCAACGATGCAAGCAAAACAGAAACACTGGTCTACTAGTAAAACCTTTTACATTGATTCTGCAATCCTGGAATGAATTCCATTAAATATAATGGAACTTACAGTGCATGTGTTACCACTCATTTGAAAGTAGATCTGTCAATGCTTGACGTCCTTTAATCATGTCCATTGCCCTTTTCCATACATTTTCCAATACTGTAATATTACTGTTCAGCGGGTGACCAGAATCAGAGGAATTCTTCAAGAACACAGCTGTATCAATTTATATATGCAGTTTACAGCTACTCATTTATGATAATTTCTTGGATGCTTTTATACCACAGGAAGCCAAAATGACATCCAATATTCAGTATTAAAACCAGTCATTATGCAACAAGTGGTTTTAGTTTCAGCCTCTTTCCTAATGAACCCAAGCAACAGCTGAGGCCAGGATCTGATTAGGAAAGTGCTTCTTTCCCAAACATGTGAAGGGTAGAAGTCTCAAAAGGCACTTGGATGACTGTCCTGACTTCAGGCAAACTTTTTTTCAGAAGACAAGCAGTTAGTAGAAAGGAGGGTGAGAACGCCTTGTTCAAGCTTATGAGAAAATGGTTGATAGGACTTTGGCACACTTCTTGTGAATGCCACTCCTCAATAAGTTCCAGCCAAGACCTTTGCTGTTGTATCTGCAGTGTCTGGTGCATGAGCCAAGATCACTTTTTCCATTTCTCCAAAGTTTTCTTCTTCATCTGAGATCTCTTTTTTTATATATAATGTTTCATTTTCTATGGCTTTGGCAGGTGTTTGGAAGGTTATGGTGTTACAATGGCTAAGGATGGGACTGCTGTCCCTCCTGTTTTCCATTACAGTGCTCTCTATCACTCTGCAGTTCCCCCCAAACTGTCTTTGCTTCCTGCTTTGAAAAAAACCTCACAAAGCAGATCCCTCAGGGTCCCCTTGCTGGGGATGGAACTGAAAAAGTGGAAAGCTGGGGGGTGGGGGAGGGGCTGCAGAGTGCTGGAGAGATACTTTTGCAATGGAAGTTGTAAGGCAGGGGTGTCAAACTGCCGGCCCACCGGCTGGTTTCATCATACCGAAGCCGTGCCCACCCCATTGCTGGCAATGCAAAAAGAATTGTGATACGTCGCGACACGTCACGTGACGTAGCAAGTTCGACACCCGTGTTGTAAGGCATGTACAGTGAAAAATAGGCCATGGTAAAAACAAGAACTTTACCTCCCCAACTCCCATCACTTTGCTTTTGCAAGCAAGGCTGGGGGGGAAAAAACCCGAACATCTGTTGAGCATGAATATAAATAGTAACCATAGAACTCTTAAGCATCAGAGTGCTGCTGTTGCATAAACCAATCAGCCTGCCAGGAGGCGAAGGAGACTGGAGGGAGCAACCCTGCTCAGCAGGTACAGTTATCAGACTTATTCTGCTCCATGCTAACATCACTCTGTCCCAGGGGCCCAATAATACAGATACACAACTCTTTGGATTCCAGCCAATGAACCAGACTATCACAGCACTGACATCAAACACTGACGCATGCAACTTCATAAGAAGTTGTGACCATGTTTGATGTACTTGTTGCTAAGGAGAATAGGACAAGAAAATCCTGCTGATGATGTTACCTAGTTTGATAACGAAACCTTCAGAAATTATATTAAAACAACCTTGGAGAACAAACCCCAAGCAAAATCTAAAACCCGAACTGCAAGTATTTTCTATTATTTCAACTTGTTGTTTAGTTTACTTCCATTTAAATAAAAGATTAGCAGTCCTCAACAGATTGAGAAAACATAAAAACCAAGGAAGTTCTTAAAATAATAAAAAAAAAGATTGTCTTTAAAAGTTCATACCAAAAGAGCAACACAAATAGGACCATGGACGATGTACAGCAGATGAGTCTCTGAACTGATCCAGCAGCTACAGAATATTAAAAAGAAAAAAAGTTAAAGAAGAATAATAATTCTGTCCTCTTTCTTGTAAGAGACTTTTTTTTTTAATGAAAACTCTTTCAAAGGCAGGAGATGACTTACTTGTCATCGAAATATATGCTTCTGGCTGCAGCATGTATGCAGGAAGGTATCAACGGGAAGCCTGTGAACAACAAATGATAGGTTTCTTACTGAGACATCTCAGCCTTGGGAGTGCAGAAGCAAGAGGTGGTGTGGCCTTTGCCAGGATTCTCACAAGGACCACTAGGAAATATCACCCTTCCCTCCCAGCAGATGGAAGACCAGGCACTTAGAGAGGGGGCCTTCAACTGACTGGCAGCAGATGGCAACATGATGGAAGAATCTTCCCATCTGTAAGGGAAGACTCCCCAGATCCAATGGAAGGAAGGGCCTTTTCAATGCCTCATCTATCTCCCTCAATCTCCCATTGCCTAGGCCCCCAATTTTCCTTCCCTTATGGCCGAGTTCCC